ACCTTTGACGATGCCTAAGTCAAACTTAGGATTTCTTTTTAAAATAGGACAGATTCAATTAGGTGGCCAATCACACCTAAATAAAAAAGATTAGTGACGACTCTTCAAGTCAATGTCTAGTGATAGGTCTCCAGATCTAGACGTTATGACAAGGCCTAAAGTCAAAGTAGGTCAAGATCGGTCAAGATTACTTGGAATGGGTCAAATCTTTTTCAAATCCTTATGTTTATAAAGGAAATTTTTGGAAAAATTGAATTTTGAGTTGAAAGCAACTAAAATACCTCGTGGTTAAATGTGTTCAAACTTGATCAAACTTGAGTCACCTATAGTATTCACGATTGAATAGGATTATTAAGGTTTAGGATTAATAAAATTATGATTTAGACTCTCTAAAATCTTGTTAGACCTCAAGAAAAGAGAAATTACAAAAATACCTTTTACGAAATTTTTCATCATTTAGCTTTTTGGTGTTGGTTTTTCATGAAAAACTCCAGTCACGTTTACCTATCATTGTATAAATTTTTATGCATTAAAAATCTTGATTGCACCTCGAAACGATGAAATTACTTAAATACCTTTTAAGGGTATTTTTGTAATTTAACCTTTTTGGGGTTGATTTTTTGTAAAGCATTGCAGATCATGTTTAAATATTATTTTGTGAATTTTGATGCATTAAAAATCTTGATTGTCCCTCAAAAGGAGTAAAATTGCAAAAATACCTTTAGGGGCATTTTTATAATTTATCTTTTTAAGGTTGGTTTTTCATGAAAAGCTTCAGATCATAATTAGATATTGTTTTATGAATTTTGATCCATTAAAATCATGAATATAAGTATTGTATCATAGGATTCTAGAGAAAAACATGAAAAAAAAAAAGGCTTAAAGCACTAATAAAGGTAAAATGATCTTTTCACATTAGAACAACTACACCAAAGGCCAACATGTGTGTTGTATTTCTTTATAATCATTGAGCTTAAAAGTGTTTAGATTATAGAGTCAAAGTTGCATTACTTAGTCACCTAGCTTAGGGGAAAAAAACAAAATCACTATAACTATTAAATGAAAAGGATTAAAAGGTTAAGAAAGAAGTCTTAATCTTTAAATGTAGCATATTTGGGCTAGAATGAAAAGAGGGAGCTGAAGAAAGAATAGTGGTAGCACACAACAAGAAAGGGAAAGGAAAGACCAAAAAAGTAAGAAAATAGAAAAGAAATAAGGTTTGAAAAGGCAAGAAATGTTTTTCCTAGGAAGCTTAATCGAGGGGCTATTCATAAGGGTTTAAAACACCATCTTTTATTCTTGTTATCCAACTTTAAATGGAAGAAAATGGGTAGCAAAGGAGTGACGGCATATCCTTAGGAAAGAAAAAAAATCTTTTGGTGAAAAACGTTAAGCTAGCCTTTTTTTTCCTTTCTTTAATTTTTTTTTTCATCATACAATTCTATTTTTCATACATGTAGTTTTTGCTTTTCTTGGTCTTTGTGTTTTGATGTATTTGTGGTGATTGGTTTTCATGTTTTGATGTGTTTGTGATGTTTAGGATCTTGTGTTTAAATGTTTTCCATCTTGTAATCCATTTTGATGTATTTTGGTGGATGAAATTGTTTCCATTTAGGAGGTTTGTTATGTCTTTAATAAATGTTTTTGTTAATAAAAATGGTTTTCTAAAATGCTTTCTAAGTGTTTCATAAAAATTTTCAAAATTAAAAAAAAAAGTATTGTAGGAATTTTCTAAGTATTTAATAAAATAAGAATGTAGTCATTTAGCATATTTTTTAAGTGTTTGTGAAAATGCTTTAGTATTATCATGGTAGTTTTAATTTCATGGATCACTTGTAATGGTTTAATTTCATGTTTAGCATTTAATTGTCATAAGTATTGTCATATATTAAGCATTACTGATTGCTGCTATTTATATAGTGTATAAATGCATAGATCACATCAAGTAATAAAGTGATGAAGTAGAGTATCATTTATACGAGGATTATGTATGGGGTGCAAAACAAGTAAAGGTGATGTTTGCTAGCTTTATATTTAAACAGATCGAAAAGGTTGATTAATTGTATTGAAAAGTAAATAATGAAAGCAATGGAAATTGTAACCAAATTGTATAGGCCAAAGGCCAACCAACCAATTATCACTCGGTAATTTTAGGAATTGGCCAAATATAAAATAAAATAAAAGCAAATCTAAAGCTTGAAAAGAAAATGAATGCTGGTCGATTGTAAAGAAAGCATAAAACAAAGATTTGAAAACTTGAAAAAAAATAAAGTTGTGCATGCAAACAGAGAAAAAGAGATCTTTGAATTGCAAATAAACTTGTATTGAAAGAATGCTTTAGAAAACAAGATTATAGCTAGTCTATCATCCTAGCCAAGAGTCAAAAGAATTACAAAAGATTTAAACTAGTCTGTCAACCTAGCCAAAAAAGAATCTAAGTAAAATTGAAAAAAGTAAAAAATGAGGGAAAAAGTACGATGATATGTGGGATGTGTCACAAGTGAGAATGCAAAGCCTATTTATAGTGCTAGGTTTGGCCAAAGGGGAATAAAGATTGCAAAATCCTAGTTTAACTCAAACTCTTAAAAGATTACATTCTATCTTGATCTTAATGAAGATTGGTCGAATGTGGGAATCCTTAAAGGTGAGATGGAGCTTGTGTGGTCGAATAAGATTCCTTGATTGGTCCTTCATGCTTATGCATCTTTCCATGTAATCTTTATCTTGTCACTTGAATTGAGTTTTGGCTAAAGTGAAATCCAAGACCAATCTTCTAGATTTGGTTTACTTGATTTAAAACTTTTGAGATAAAAATAAAAAAGTCCTTGTTAAACCATAACTCTAACCTTTATCTTCTTTGATGCATTCTTCTTAGAGTAAAACTCTTTTAAACTAAACAAAGAGCCTCTTGCCTATATAACTCCTCTTTAGCAGAATGAATGATAGAAATCCCTTAGCTAATTAGGTTTGGCTATAATTGAATGTTGCACCCTTTTGCATGGATTGCATGGCTTACACATCCAACTTGACTTAAACCCTAAAATCAAGATTTCACACATTAAAAGTACCAAATTGAAGAAAATTTTTAAAAATTTAAATCTAAAATAGACTCATAAAAACTACAAATTTGGCAATCATCAATTACTTATACATTAAAACCTTAATTAAAGAATAAAATCATGGTTTTTTTAACTTATTTCGAAAGTACGCTTAGATGTTTGAGATTTTTTGAGTTCATAAAAATCATAGGAACTTAAAAAAAATCCAAAACCAAACCCTAAAAACCCTAAACCCTAACATTATATCAAAAGCCTAAAAACTCCCTAAAACCTAACTTTAAACCAAAAACCCTAAAAACATTAAACCTTAAACCCTACTCAAACCCTAAAACCTAGCCTAAACACTAAAGCCTAACCTAAATTTCACCCTAAACCCTAACCTAAACACTAAACCTAGCCTAAACCCTAAACCAAACCCCAAACCTTAGTCAAGCCCTAAAGCCTACTCGAACCTTAAAACAAACCCTAAACCTTAAAGCTAACCCTAAACTCTAACCTAAACCTTGAACCTAGCCCCTAACCCTAAATTTGACCAAAACCTTAAATTGTGTAGACCCTAAAACTGGTTAAATCTTAAAACCTTAAACCCGTTTCAACACCTAAAGCCACCCTAAAATTCAAAAGATTTATATGAAAATCTCATATGAAATAATTTGTTCCTAAATGCCGTTTAGAGAATAAGATACTTAGAAAATTTTATTTTTTTAAGTTTTTTGTATGATTCCTTAACCCAAAACAATAATAAGATCAAACAAAAAAAAAGTAATAAAAGTGAGATCTTAAATATAAATAGTCGTACCTAAAATATGCTTAAAAGTTGAGGAGTCCAAGTAGTCTCTTTATATTTAAGGACCTAATTTCAACATCATGCATGACATCCATTTACATATCTTTATTTTTATATTGTTGTTTGCATCATTTCTTGTGCTTAGGTCTTTTAATTATTATTATTTATTTGTTAATCGTAGCGTCATTGCTTTTTTTGCATAAAATATTTTTCATTGAAATTTTATTCAGAAAATATGGATTTTGAAATAAAATTAAAATAACATTTTCAGAAAAATAATTTTTGATACTCTACTTATATGTTGAAAAGTCATTAACAATTATCATTTACGAAAAATTGTTATTTTCATTTTTAAAAAATGTCATGGTGAATCTTCAATTAAAAATAGTTATTTTTAAATTCTGCCTAGATGATAGAGAATATTAAGGTAATTTTTTAACTTAAAAATTTTCACAATATTCCTAAATAAGGTTTTCTTTTATAAAAAATAAAATTGATTTTTTCCAAAAAAAATTTATTATTAAACATCAAGTGAAAACCATTTTCATTCAATACTAAAAAATAACGTATGATTAGTTGCTATCACTTTTAAACAAGAGTTGTAAGGTTGCTAATTTTTCATTTCCTATAACCATATTTCAAAACTAAACTTTATTTTCAAATAATAAAATATTTTTTTGATGAATTTTAAATTTATTTTTAATTTTATTAAAAAAATAAATTATTTAAATGATCAATCACATCTAACAAAAATGAGTAATAATAACTTTTTATTTTTTTATTTTCAAAATTTTACGTCGATTGAATTCACAGACATGCACAATACAAAACACACTAATACACTAATGATCCAAAAGTACTGGTGCTTCATAGCTCACAAGTGGGTATCACAAATCATTGAAGCAAAAGATGATATATTTATTAAGACTTTACTTTTCTCGTGGATAACTATCTTTTTGGATAACTCAAATTTAATTATTCAAACACCATAGAGCAAAATTTACACAAACTGTCGATTTAAAAATAATTAAATACAGCAGAATGAAACTGTCAAAATCCCTTCATTCAAGCTTCAGCTATAGCAAAGTTGGAAAATTTCTCTCTTTCCTATTTTTTTTGGATAATTAAACCTTATAACGTTTGACAAGTTGTTCGGTATAGCTAGTTAGCTATATGGCCAGCCATCTTTGCGTTTAAATGAAAAACTTCAGCCATTATTTTCCTCTTATTTGTCTCGCTCCAATATTGTATAGATTGAAGATCAATATATTCAGAGAATTATACATCTAATAGTAGTAAGCAAGTATATATGGTTGGGCATTCATTATTAATTTTTGATTGTCAAAAAGAAAAAAAATCAATCAAGGTCTTTAAGTTGAACTTCTCTGTTTTTAGACTAACTATGAAACGTCAGCTGCAATTCCATTCGCATTTCAGCGTTCTTGGCCTACCATTACCAAAATTTGGTTTAAAATTGAACGAATTTTATCGACAAAATTTGACGACTGAATTTATTTCATTGATATTTTGTAAGTAAATTATTAGTAGCCAAAAAGATAAATTTATCACGAGAAATATCAATGAAATAATTTATCAATGATCTGTTAGTAAAGATTAAATCGATGGATTACCCACGGATTATTCCGTCGGTAAATTATTCTAAAAAATTTTATTAAATTAAACTTTGAATCCCTAAACCCCGCGTTAAATAAAATTTCGAATCCCCGCATTGAAATCCCTAAACCCCCTTTTCCCCTTTCTCTCGCCGAATAATCTCTGCCACTCTCCTCTCACCGCCGCGCCTTGGATCTTCCTTCCCGGTGCCGTCGATTATCCTCCGTCGTCTGTTGGTTCCTTCCATCGTCCGATGGCATCGTCCTTCGTCCGTCGTTGAATTCTGCGGTAGGTAAAGCCCGTCGGCTTGTTTGTGTTTTTGTTGTGAACACCCGCCTGTTATTATGAACACCCATCTGTTATCCTCCAATCAGTTAATTGGGAACTTGCCATTGCCATTTGCTTTGCTAAGAAATCTAATTGATCTGTAACTTTCTTCAAATTTACCTTTATTTTAAGCCATATACCTAGATATGTTCATTGGAGCAACAATATATTTCTGTCTACTGCAAAAGGATAAATGATAACAATTTCAATGGAACCATACCTAGTTTCATACAAATGCGAACAACTCAGCAGACTGTAAGATTTATTTCTGATCTTTAATATATATACATATATATTTATTTATTTATTTTCTTATAATTATACTTGTTTATTCTGATTGTTACAGAGAAATGCATGCCAGTGGACTTGAGGGACCAATTCCATCTAGCATCTCTTTTGAGTAATTTAATTGAGCTGTGAGTATAATGCTTCCTTTACTTGTAGTCATTGGCTTTATATTGCACAGCTACTTTTTCGTCTTTTTACTGATGGCTTTGTGAATGCTGGACTTATCTTTTATGTAGGAGGATTACTGACATAAATGGGCCAAATCCAGGTTTTTCTATGGTCAGAAACATTACAGGCATGGTAAGATTGTCTGTTTAGTTCTCACATATCAAATATATTGAAGGTGCCATCTATATATTATCCATTTTGACTAAATGTTATCGAGTTATATTTGCTTAGGGTTTTGAGGAATTGTAACATTTTCAGAGAGATCCCTAAATACATTTGGGCAATGAAGAATCTGGAAATGTTGTAAGTAAAGCATGCGCTAAAGCAAAATGTTTCTTTACCTTTTGCTGTTTGCATTGTCTTTCTTTTTCACAGGGCACTCATAAAGAGGGAATATATTTATTATTATTAGTATTACTTTTATGAACGTAACTATCCTTTGATTCTACATGGATAAGTCCATTATTCTCTTCTTAAGAAACTAAATTTATTACCTTAATAACTTTCAATTAACAACCACCATACATTCTTCACCACAATCTTACTGTAAAGTGTGCACTGGTCTAATTGTAGACCATGTTTTTTTCATATTACAAATTAAAGACTTTATATCTTATGCGAGTGTTGTGCTGAAAAAGTCATGGTCTTTCTGAATAGAAATTAAGCAAGTATCATGCTTATAAGTAAGGATATATCAACAGGCCAAAGGGTGCCTAGGATATAATTAGCACTCAGAAAGCCATGCACTAAAATGTCAGGCACTTTTAGAATTGATAAGCATGTCAAAAACAACATGTTTGGTTTCTTTGTTTTTTGGTTTTAATTATATCTATTTTGAATTGAGGAAGATTGCTTAAGGCATATATCATGAAAGCAAAGTTCTTGACTTATTCCCTCTTACTTTCCTTGGAGATAATATTCTAGAGTACAGGTCTCTATTATTTATTTGGTCAAAATCTGCCCCAAGAACCTTCTTGAATAGATTTTTTTTATCGCCAAGTTATTACTGGCAATGAACTCATATCCTTTTGATTCATTCAAAAAGCAAGTTACTTACTGATTTGTCTTTCGGAGACTCCTAGAATGCAAAATCATGTTTGAAAAGTTAGGCACTGTCATAAAATTATCTCACCCCATTGCAACAGGGATGTCAGTTTCAACAAATTAGTTGGGAAAATTCCAACCAGCATAAGTGCAGATTGTCTAAGATTTGTACAAGTATTAACTGGAAATTTTGGCTGCATTTAGCTCTCTTTTGGACGTCATTGCAGAAAAAGATTGTTTTAAGATTCTGTTTTAAGATTCTGAATAAGTAGTTTGAACTTCTTAATTGTATAAGGTAGAAAATATTGGTGTATGTTCACAAATAGAATGTCACATTCATGGTTTTAGGGATGAGAACAATTGTAGCTTATATATAACATTAAACTTGTTTTGCAGTCCAAAATCACTTAAAAAAGTGACATCAATATGTGAAATTAAAATTTTAAATTAGAGATAATTTGATTCTTTTCTGTTATTCTAATTGGTACAACTTATTGAGTATCTAAAGTGGGTTTTTTATTAGTATTTTAAGTGCCAGATTCTATATTTGAAGCAAGGAACTAGCATGTATGTTTGTGTCTATGATCCTTCTTATTATATTTCCATTTCTTGCCTTTTCTAAGCACATTGTTCATAACACTCAAAGGGGAAAATAAAAAGAGTAAAAAAAGATATCTCTAAATAATCAAATAATGTTATGTAAGTACATTTTCATCTTAGCTTTGGAAATTTATACTAATTGTCAATGCTTGGATACAGTGACCTTTCATACAATGACTTCACATGGCAAGGCCCTGAGAAACCTGGCTGTCAGGAGAACATGTCAGAATACTTTTATTTTATTCTTTCCTTTATACTTTCATCTTTAATATCATGTGGAGCTAACAATTATTTCATCTTTTTTTCCTTAGGAATCTGAACTTAAACTTGTTTTGCAGCTCTTCATCAAGGAACAACTTGTAAGAGTTTTCTTTCCCTTTGTTTCTTTCTTTTTTCTTATTATTTTTTCTTTTAAGTGTTTGGTGGCTTCATAAAGGAAGGTCTTGTGTTTGTATCATTCAAACATTGTGCTAACAATTTCCTGTTCTCAAATTGTGTAACAGGAGGGGAGCTCTTCCATGCAAGAAGGATTTCACCTGTCCTCAATGTAAGTTGCCTCCTTTAGTAGTTGGAATACATGAACTGCTAGTCATTTTAGTCCACTCAACTTTATAAATAAATTGGATTGACCACTTGCAACTTGCATTTTAGGTTTTTAACCCAGATTTTAGTATATTAGATTGAACCCAATAATGATGGCTTTGATACAGTGGCTTTTTACTTTGTAGGTACCAAGAATACAAGTAAGAGTATATATCTACCCAAAACGAGCATTGTTTGATGCTCAAAAAGATGAGGAATGGTACTTCTCATTGTTTACTAATTCCTGACACTTTGTACACCTCATTGTTCTAATTAAACTTGCTTATGTATGTAGGTTGAGAGACAAATAGCATCCAATAAACTTGGTCATTGTTATTGAAAGGTTAGTTGTACTTGCATATTTCATGATGTTTTAGTTCGTAAATTTGTTAGTAAGCTGATGGACCCCCTCTGCCCTACATTTTGTAGCATGGTGTTATTGATGGATTTGGTGTCATTTTATCATGCTATCATTGGATTCTTTCTTCAATTTCATTTTTTTTTTTTTGGGATTTCATTCTTTTAAAGAGAAACGAGCTTGCACACAATGAGATTTTGTTGGTGGAAATTGCATGACATTGTAGTGATGTTATAGTTGTAGAAATAACTACTTCCTATATGCCTTAAACATGTGAACTTAAAACTAATACTACTATATATTAATTTGTGCATTACCAAATGTTTGTTTAGGATTTGGAACATATATGTGTTTTTATATTTTCATATAATTAGAATTTATAAATAATTTTGTAAAATATTGTTATATTTTTTATAAACGAAATAGAATGTTTTATTTATTTATTTTTTCTATTTATGTATTTTTTAGTATTCATATCATTACTTAAAAAACAATTTTAAAAATATAATAAAATGATAAAAATTATAAAATAATAGTTAAATATGATTGAAAAATAAATATTATCAATGGAAATTATAAATATTATCGATGGAATTTTAATTATTATCGACGAATTTTTTAAAAAAGTTAATTAATTTTGAAAAAAATTATTAAAATAATATATAGAAAAAAAGTATTTTTATTGACGAAATTTTTCGTTGATAATTTATAGTTGGAATTTTGTAATATCGATGGAATAGCATTACTGATTTCGCTTATATTGATGGAATTTTTTTGTCAATAATATTATTATCAATGGAAATTAAGTTGGTAATACCTTTTTTTCTGTTGGTGTACCTTATTGATTTTTCTAAACTTGTCAAATTGATATGGTTGCCATGATCAAGAACAAATATCAAGTATTGGTTGATGATCATGTCAAGGCTACAAAAAAAAAAAAAGTAACGTACTGATATTTGAAACTATAAACTTTCATTGTTGATCAGTGTGTGCGTTACAACCTGTATCCAATGTTATAGCATGTCATCTATTTTTTTTCCTTGTATGAAAACCTAACATCAATTCAAGTCACCCGTTAGGAGCAGTGTTTTCACTTGTTCACTATGTACACAACATTTACCATGGTGTCATGACTATCTCTTGGTGTGTCTTGATACTGTCATGATTATGTCAATGCAGAATAATGGACAAGATCTAGTCTATGGAATGGTAATCCTTGAGTTATGCGCAGTGAAGTATGAGTTTTAGAGCAGTCCGTTGTGTGGGCACCATGGAGCATGTTAGCCTAGTCGGGTGCTCCTACATGAATCTATGTGCGGGTATTGTCAAATGGATTGGTGGAATATCAATGGATATCCTAGTATTATTGGGATTAAGAGAAAGATCATGGTGCCTTGAGTTTGTTGAAGTTAAGAGTGGATTGGCTGAGGAAAAAAAGTGTTCTCATTTCAAATATTGTTACAATTTTTGGTAGCAAAACTCTAAAAAATCTTACACTCTATAGAGGCAGGATGTTTAGTTTTAGCTTTCCACCACCTATTTGGCTAGCATGTAGATGGGGGCCTGCTAGTATTAAGTGAGCTACTCTTAGGCACATGTGGTGTCTAGGTAAGTGGGCACCATAGGGCCGTGAGAGCGACACAATGTCTTTTTGAGATATGGGAAACTCGGGGATTGTTAGAGCTTGCAGGCCTCATATTGTGCCTTTACATTAAGCCATGTGTTGCATGCTAACATTCGCTATGCCTCTCGATTTTCCCTCAATGAGTCGAATAACAAGTAACGAAGGATCATGAGATTGTGCTTATGTAAGAGGGGCACCAATAAGCCTAAGGGATGAGTGGGCTAGCAAATAGGCAAGTTATTAGACCCATGTGCTTTTGTGATGACATTTGTGGGAATGTGCTACAACTGGGCAGCACATTGGAGTATTCGATGAGATAAGGGCATGATGTTGGGTATCCATCATGCGTGTGGGTGGCCTAACGCGAGACTAAGGATTGAGGCCTAAATGTGTGAGTTTCATGGATAGTAAGTTGAGCCTAGTGTAGCTGTTGGTTGGTTATGGGCTAGCATCAGAGAAGTACCACAAGGTTCCAAGCACTAGAGCTGTTAAACAATGCATGTGGGCATGGTGTTGGATTCTAACCATGGCAAAATGTGATTACCTAGTGAGACTTGGGGCTACACGCCCTTATGTGAGTTCTTGTAGGGTTGGTGCTCAAGACCATGGTGCTTGCAGGCACTAGATTGGTGTTTGAGGCCACCCAAAGACTTATAGGCCCATAACTCATAAGTCCCAGGATTGTGCCAAGAAAATCTCTTATGCATGAGACGAATTATTGATTATGGGTTGTCCTTGTGAGAAAAAACTTGTGAAAGGCTGACCTTGACTAAAAGTAGTCTTGGTGCCGTGTGGTTGCATTGTTTCAGCATAAGAAAAACACAGTCTGTGATAGTAGTGGTATCAGAATCTAATTAGGCTCATTTTTTATGCTAGAATGGAAACGCGGTCTGTGACTGTGTGGATGCGAGATTTTAAATGGTGTTAGCTTAAAAAAGACAATAGTTGTGAAATTACGATATCAAGACAATGTTGGCTCAGGAAAAAGCCATCAAATTCAGTGTTATATGAGGGAAATTGGCCTAGTTACAAACAAAGCCTTCGAGGATCTTAGATGCTAAGCGAAAGGCATAGAAGTCTAACCTTACCTATTAAATGGTATTGACTTGTGTGGGTGTTAGAGGCTATACAGTATGAGGTCAATTCATGAGATCTAAATGTGAAATGGGGCTAACCTTAAAAGGGTGTTGAGTTTGGCCGTGTGTGTCTAACTAAGAATTGTCCCAAGGGACATAAGTTGAGTTGATTGAGATAAGTTACTAATTAGTGTACTTTGTTTGTGCTATAAGAGCCCTAGTAGGGAGCATGATATGACTAATTGAGCTTATGGTAAGGAGGCTTTCTACAAAAATAGATATGCCTGGGATGGTCAAAAGACCAAATGTGTTCGAGTTGGCCTGTGGGTAAGGTTGTATGAGTTAAGATGGTTAATGGACTATCTAAGTTCGAGTAAGGCAATGGATGCGCCAATTTTAGTTGTGTTGAATAGTGGACTGATTCAGTTAGAGCCGATAAACATGGCATTACAAGGTGGATCTGGTCAGCGGATTAGAAGAGTTTGAGCAATACAAAGATACACTGATTAAGATTGAGCCAAAGTGGACATTATGAGTTGATGTGGGCTTAGGGAATTTGACCATGGGTTCGAGTGGGTTGGTGAACCTTGTTTTTTGAGTAGGTCAATGACCTTGAGTATGAAATGGATCGATGGATCCTTGAGTATTGTCTGGGATATAGGAACTGCTCTTATTTCGAGTTGTGCCAAGGTCGAGTAAAGCTTGATTGAAAGCAAATGCGAGCTTCATCAGAATACCTGAAATCGTAATGGGGATATGGTTGCAAATGGAGCTGAGCTTGAGCAAAAATGGAAAAGCATTGTGATTGAATTTGTAACCAAGACTGAGGTAGCAACGAGATGGTGCCACCTTAAGAAGTAGTTGGCTAAAGGGCCATACCTAAAGAAATGACCATAGAGGGGTTTAGAATACCTAAGTTGGGAGATGATCAAAGTGTTTGAATGCCACGATGCTTCGGTCCACTGTAGGTAATGCTGCATGAGTACGGTTAACTTAAGCACAATGTCCAAAAAGGTGCATTGAAGAGTCGATGCCGCAGGTGCTCGGTTGGTGCGATAGGTCACATGTAGAAGGACGTATCACTATAGGGCAAAGCAAGAGGAGGCCAATCACTTAATTGAGGGTCATGAACAACAAAGGCACTTCAAGGTTGTAACTTTGTGATCATGGGTACACTAGCACAGCGGTACAAATTGAGCTCTAATTGAAGTTTGATTTTTTGATAGAGAAAAAACACGAGGTGCAGTGGAGCTGGGATGAGACCTTGTTAACAGCGATAATGAAGCAGAACTATAAGCGATGCCTCTTTTGACAATATCATGACCTAGTCCTTAATGAGGATACATGAAAAGGACATCAGAAAATGTCAACTTTGTGAGATAAAGAAACTCTGGTGTGCTCTTGGTATTGATGAGGACATCAATATAGCAAGGGAGGATGTCATAGGCAAGCCTTGGTGTGCCTTGGTGCTATCACGTTTATCCTGATGTAGAGAACCAAACAAGACCTATTCCATAAGAGGGTTATCTTTGAGCTATGTGCGGCCAAGTGTAGGCTTTGGAGTAGGCCGTCATGTGGGCACCTTGGAGCCTATCAGCCTGGTCTAGCATTTTGGGGTGAAGCCTTGTGCGGTACCTTTAAGTGGGTTAATGGAGAATTGATGGATATTCTAGCATTAATGGGATCAAAAAGAGGAAGATCATGGTGTCTTGAGTTTGCTAAAGTTGGGTTGGATTAGCTCGGGGAGAAAAATGTCCATATTTCAAACATTGGTATGATTTCTGGTAACAGAGCTTTAAAAGTTCCTACTCTCTATATGGGAGGGATGTTTAGTGTCAGTTTTTCACCATCCCCTTCGCTAGCAAGTAGGTGGGGGCTTGCTAGTTTAAGTAAGCTATTGATAGGCATATCTTATGTATATGTGGATAAGCATTGTAAGGTCACGAGAGTGACAGTGTCTGTTCTGAATATGAGAAACCCAATGACGATAGGGGTCAACAGGTCTCGTATCGGGTTTTTGCGTCATGCCGTGAGGTTGCATACCAGCGTTTGCTATGTCCTTTGGTTTCCTTCCGTGGGTTGGATAACGAGTAATGAAGGATTATGAGATAGTGCTTGTGTAGGAGGGCACCAATGAACCTAAAGGATGAGTGGGCTGGCAATTAGGCAAGGTACTTGACCTATGTGCCTTTGTGATGGCATGTATGGGACAGTTGAGGTAGCACACTCGAGTATTCTATGAGACGAAGGCATGATGTTGCGAGTCCATCATGTATATGATTAACCTAATGTGAGACCAAAGGGTGAGGCCCCAAAGTGTGAACTTCATGAATAATGAGTCAAGTTTAGTGTAGGTCCAGATTAGTTGTGGGCCAATATCATAAAAGCAACTTAGGGTTCGAGGCACTAGAGTTGTGAAACATGTGACTATGATGTTGGATTCTCACCGTACTAAAATATGATTGCCTAGCGAGATTGGAGGCTACACACCCTTCAATGAGTTGTCATAGGAACAGTGTTCAAGACTTTTGTGCTTCTAAGTATTGGATTGGTGTTCGAGGTCAACTAGAGATTTATGGCCCCATAATCCATAGGTCTTAGGATCGAACCAAGAAAGGTTCTCATGTGTGAGACAAATGATCGATTGAACATGAGACGAATGATCGATTGTGGTTTATTCTTGGGAAAAAAAATAACTTTCGAAAAATTGATTTCAAATAAGAGTAAACTTGATGTCACGTGATTACATTATTTCAATATATATATATATATATATAGAAAAAAAAAGAAGCGATCCATAATACATGTCATGGCATGGCTCGCCACATAAAATATCTGACATTAGATTAACTGTACTCGTTGTACCAATTCAATCTTCATTACTTTGAAAGCGTCTCCAATGGAAAAAATTCGGTCCAGCATGTAATGATGCATAGACTTGCGTAACGCTGTCAATTAGTACTAGATCTTCATGATTGGGAAATAGTAGCCAACCAAGATTATTTCTACTTGTTCTTGCGATTCGATAGTTCTAATTGCATAAAATATTAATAATTTATATATTTATATATATTTTATATGAAACTTATATAATAATATGTATGATATAAAATGTATAAAATATATATTTTTTATTAAATTTATATATAATTTTTATTAAAATTTTAGTTCACATCATATTCATACTTTTATTATATTGTTTTTATATAATACTATTATATTATATTTTAAATGATCAAATATGGTCACATAAAAAAAAAACCTATTGAATGCTATTACGTAATTAACAGCAAAAGATGTTTTAAAGAGAAAGAAGCACGCACTCTCCTAAAGACTACACCTATTTTCTAAGGTTTAATAATTAACATCAAAATTCATATTGCTACACCGGAAATATCATTATTATTCAATATTCAAATAGACTCAACTGGACAATCATTTCCGGTTCTCTTTACAATATGTCATGCCATTGATAGCAAAAATACCTAAAAGGAACAAACACACTAGGCTATGCGTTACTATCAGCCGTAGAAGCAAGTGGCTGAAGAGCATCGAGAGGATTCATGATGACACCATCAATAAGTCCGTATTCCATCGCATCTTCGGGGCTCATCCAAAAATCAAGTTCGGTATCCCGGGTAATCTTATCGAAGCTTTGACCAGTGTGGTAAGAAAGATACCCGCTTAAGATTGCCCTATGATGCATCATTTCAGTTACCTGAGAATCATGTCTGCTAGTCAGAGTACCGTATAACAACTGGACGAAAAAGAGGCTACAAACAAAACAGTTAAACAATCCAAAATGTTGATATTTGGCAAGGATCTTCATGAAGGCATTCCACTGGTACACTGTTCAAAAAACAATTTTTTTTCTTTTTAAATTTGGGTCCATCTTTAATAACAAAGTTTAACAAGCCTCCCACCCCACTCAAAATCCACCAAAGCAAAGAATAACAAAAATACATGTTCACCAGTGCTTGCTTGTCTTCTATCCTAAACATCAAGATACAATTGATTGTATCTGATTTATGCAGAGGGGTAGAGGAGGCAGAAGTAGAAAATTTAAACAGCATGAGGTTTGCTAAGAAAAATGCATACCAGAATTTCCAGCTCAGTTCGAGTTCCTTGACCTCCACCAAGAGGCTGATGTATCATCATCCTTGAATTAGGTAAACTGTATCGTTTTCCTAGAGTTTCGAAGAAAACAAAGGGATAAGTGCATTTAGTAGACTGGGGGAAACCTCACCAAACAACAGAGCTATGAATGGTACAAATCACAAGCATTATATACCTTTGGTTCCAGCACTAAGCAGAAAAGCTCCCATGCTGTTCATGGAAAAACAAAATACATATCCATTACTGATTGCAAACAATTGGATCCGCATGCAAATTGAAAATCTTATTCTCAGGAACATCCACAGACATCTTAATTTAGATATTTATTTCACATCAAAGGTTTGCAATTTCTAAAAATCAATCATAAGGCTCTAGTACTAAAAACATTATTTTTTCATATAATTAACAAAAGTCAACTAGGACCCAATACTCAGCTTCTAAGCATCTGGGAAAGACTAAATAAATAACATAAGATTATTTTGTCAGTCCATTGTCTGTGTGATTATGTTGTCATCTAGATTATAGGAACGACAAAGGGATTCACAAGAATCTTGAAACTGCCTTTATCGTCCATCTCAAATTGCCAGAAAGTAATCAATAATTACAGCCACACAATTCCATCACAAAATGGAAAATTATTTCAGCATTAAATAAAAATGCTTTAAACATTTCAAACAGAATCAAGAACCAGCATTTTGGTGGAATTTCAATCAACAGACGAGAAAAGGTACTGACCCTTGGCTCCGTAGCTAATTTTATAACTAGCTAAACCCAAATTGTAGATACTCTGTTACCAGAGAAAACAAGGATATGTCATTAGGCAATTAATTCCCTAGACGTATAAATCACTAGAAAAACAATCTAAAACTTGCAACTTTAACAGCACCTGTTAGGTTTCTAGGCTGACATGCCGATATCAGGGCAGGTTTTTTCTGCAAAAACAGCAGGCAGTTTAGGCCACCCCATCTCCACACATCCTAAACCTATCCTTACCACCCTCATACCGGGGGCTCCTCCTTTTCCCTTTGCCCACCCTCATGCCAAACAATCAGTTCCCATCCCACCCTAGTGTTCATAAAATCCATTATTATGCATTACGATGTAACACTTGAGACTGAGTGTAAGCCATGTCACAAAATGCAGCCATACAAGCTACTATGAACAGACATACAGGCCAGAACCAGGCTGTAAACCTATAATATTCCGGCAGCAGGGACACCAAATAGAATACACATAACTCCACTTCCCTAAAGTGGGGGATTAAACTACATGTGACTTTGAAATACAAAGCTCAGGCATCAAGCTGGGGGAACATGAGGAAAAAAAAATCCAATCTCAATCACTACGCCCCCTCTATCTCAAGTAAATTTAAGTATTAAAACCCATTTGGCCAAAAAATATATATTACACATATTAAGATATATTCTCATCAAGGATTGGATATCTGTCAGAATGAATCAAATACCGTGATATTAAGTTTCAAAGTTAAGATCAATCCTCAATTAATAGACAAAGTAGACATAGATGCAAAACTATTGTTATCCACTATTCCATAATTTAGATTTGAAAATATAAGTGCATTACAAACAGAAACAATTACATCAATGAATTTATACCTAGCTGCAAGTCCAACACAGACAGTCGAGACATCAGGCCGGATATGCCTAATAGTATCAAATATGGCCATACCTAAGAAAATTCAAAACCATACAAGTTAGGCAAGGCAATAGAAAATTGTCACTAGCTTGCAATTTGACACAAACCAGTTCAAGTATAAACACATGATTCTCATTAGATAGATACATTACCTGCCGTAACTGACCCTCCAGGGGAATTGACATACATGACAATGTCCTGTTGACAAGATCAACAAATGCACAAGTAGTAAATAATATTCATAATGGCATTCAAGGTTGCTTATTTTTTTATGGAAAGAAAAATGGTGTGTGATATTGACAAAGAGCAAGCATGGAACCAAACAAACCTTATGAGGATCGACAGCATCAAGATAGAGAAGCTGAGCTACAATGATGTTTGCCATATCATCATCAACAGGTCCACCACAGCGAACTATTCTCTAAGAGTTGAAAGAAACAACTGCTATAAGAAGTAGATAAGAGAGAAACCAAAGCCTTTTGAAACCAAAATTCACAACCAAAACAAGTCCATACTTGTTGAAAAAGTTGGCTAATAACACTATGAAATCGCTCTTGCACCATCGGAGGTGGCCCCCGCTCTCGTGCATATGCAGGGAAGTAAGGTGACGATGGGACTTGTAAATCATCCCTACATAGTTACAAAATAATATATCTAATCTTTTATCACATAAAGGTATACAAAATTACATAGGGTTGTAGTTTCGAAGAAGCATGTACCTTATTGACCAGATTCCCTGACGAGAGCTTGTCTCTGGAGGCCAAAACTCTCCAGTGGAAACAGCCTTTGGCTGAGAACTCATCACATTCTTTTGATTACTAACAAGCTTCTTCAATTTCCTGAAAAAAAAACTTCGAACTTAGCCAATTAGGTGAAAAGTAAAAACCAAAATATCAGGAAATAAGAAATCCATCTTGCATCCTCCCAACAGAAACCAACATGAAAAAAAAATGTGTTTTAATTAAGGTTGGAAGAACGGCAACTCTACCTCCTAGATTCCAGAATGTCGAATTAATCGTTTGATTAAAAAAGATTTGAAATTCAAAAAGAGAAAGAGGGAATAAAAAAAAAAAAAGAAAAAGGAAATACCTGGGATGAAGGGGATGGAAAGGAAGAGATAACTTATAAGAATTAAGATTGGGGCTTGAGTTTGGAGAGAATAGCAGAGAAGTCGAACGAAGAGACGACGCCAATGTCGAAACGCACGTTTGCGCCATTCTTATCTACCTTTTACCTGTCCGAACCAGATTTAAACCGAAATTGGAACGCTTGTTTAAGCCGTGTTTTTATTGCAATGGACTGAGGAATGTAAGGTGACCTTATCTCTCAGTTTAGGGCTAAGGGGGGCAGTGGCCTTCGGGGACGATTCTAGAGAAGTGAAGTGGAACAAGAAACTAGTTTTACTTAAAACAGTGACTTCCTCTTACGTTTTCCCCTAACTGATCTTTTTGTTTGACCCGAATCTGGATTACGGACGGGTTACGATCCAGAAGCAGATAGTACATCGGTTTTTATAGTATTTTAAAAAGATTATCGTCAACGTTCGGGAGTTAAAGTTCGGCCCGTTAACTTGGATATTGATCCAACCGAATTAGACTTGCCCAAGGGGCCGAGGGCTAGACTATCCATCCCAAGGAGGAGAATAGATCAAATCTACACTCCAACATTCAAAATCTGAATCCGGTTTAGTTTGACATATCTTTTCTATTATTTTATATATAATATATAATTTATACTACATAAAGCATAAAGACATATAAAGTATTTATAAAGTGTTGCTATCTTATCTCCACTCGATACAAACCCGTTGCATGGATAAACATCTTTAACAAATAAATTAGAGACGATTTCAATTTCTTTTACATGCTCTTGAAAATTGTGAGTACTTTAGGTAATTCGTTAAACATGATGCAGTATAAATGAAAATAGTCTATTCTATTGTTCACTTACGGGAAATCAATACCTTAGATATGCGGTTGTTATTCAACTTCTGACAATTTTGCTCATCATTTTTTTCACACCATTATTTGTTTTTTTACCAATAAAAAAAGAAGAAAAATATTTCAAATGTCATGTTTCCATTTTTTTTCTTTCCAGAAAAACGTATTTTTCACTAAATTCTGAAACAACTTATACCACAGAGATTTCTGAATATGAGATAAGAAATTGTTTCAAGTAATTGATATATTGCACAGCCGGTGTCACGTCCACGACACTAACTTTTGACACATCTACAATTAAATTTCATTCAATTTTATTTCATAAAAATCATCTCATTAAGTTAAAAATGATATGATTATCGATATTTTAAAATCGACCTAATACATAATTAATATGAGATTCATAAATTTATTTTAAATTATGACATCTTCTTTTACTCTTTCAATAACTTATCTTTTTCGATGATACATCACTAATACTTTAAGCTGACAATAACATAAAATTCACATCAAGTTATGAGATGTTATTTACTTTAACTCATTAAATTTTTTAATTTTATCTCATAAAAAATATTTTACAAATTAAAAATAATATAATTATGTCTCCGTATCAAACTCTGATACATAACCCTTAAAAAGATTCTTTATTTCTCTCTACATCCATGACCTTGCTTTCAGAGAGAGTCCATCTAATTTCATTCCATGTGAATTTATAGCTGTAGACCAACAATAAAATGATGAAAACATAAGCTGAACATACAGACACGTCCTCTAGCGTCGAGTGCTAGAAAACTCTTCCATGGAGATAAAGTTGTTATCAGCTAATTTTACCAGAAGGATGCTCCAGCAAGACCATTAATCCTAAAAGAACGAAAATCAAAGCAGTAGATTTATACTGCACAGATCCCCAATCACTACAAAAGCAGCTTTAATTTATCACACACGAAATCAGATTAAACAAGAAATTTGAGGATAAAAGGGCTAAAGATTCAAAATACAACATCCATAAAAACGCATAAAAGACATAATAGAATAAAAATGAAGGGCACGAATTGGGTGGTTAAAAACCACTAGCAGCATAATATAGCAAAAGGAATTTCCAATGTAAAAACATGGAGGCCAAATAATCAAGAACATGAACTTTCATAAGCAAATTGATCGAATTATCCAGATTAAATAAACCCAGAAAGAAACGAAAGAAATTCAAAATGCAGTAGAAGGGGCATTAACCTTGGTCCAAATGATAAAAACCAAATAATCCTATGAAATAGATTGATACAGAGAATTGGAGAATAATATTATCCCATAACAGGCAAATCATCATCAAATCAAAAGCACCCGAGATAAAAATATCCAAAAGCACACGAACCAATCCATCAAACAAAAACCCATTATCGAAAAGTAACCAAATTCAACCCCCACTCAAATCCGTAGAACAAATCAGCAAAGGGGAAAAAAAATCCCACGACTAATCGATTATTTACCTTCACGATATGGCCGTACACAAGAAATTGAGGAACCCTCGAAAGAGAAGAAAAAGAAAAGAAGATGAGGAAAGAGCAGAGCGAAAGAGAAACGAAGAGAGTGGAGTATGTTGGAATGTAAAAAAATATATATATGGATTTTCGTAAAGGAGAAAAAAAAAAAGAAGGTAGGAAGGAAGGTTAAGATTATAGAGAAGTTTTGGGGTTAGAGAAGGATAGATATAAACTGTAGTAACAATGGTGAAACGAATGAGAAAGGACAGATAGAGGTAAAGGAGAAGAAAATGACTTATTATCTCCTCGTTCTCCATTTTTTTGCTATTGCCACACCACTCCCTGTGTCTTTTTTTTTTTCGTTTGGATGGAATAGAAGGTGGATTTTTTATTTTTTGTGTTTTATTTTTCGTTTGGATGGGTTGGAAGGTGGATTTTAAGTTTTTTAGATCTTTGATTTGATCACTTGATTTGTCGACACAACTCACCCTTTTAACTCTTTCTATCTCTATCGTGTGTGCTTTTTTTACCTTTCGCTCATTTGTTCTTCTTTTCTTTGCCTAAACGCCTTTTATTTTTCCTTTTTTCTTCAACTACTACTGCTATTACACATGTTTACTATTATAGCCAAATCTTGGTGTGCTTCAGTTCTGTCATGATTGACATTGAATTGAGCAATGGACGAGGCTTTATGGTCGAGAGTGATCTTAGAGCTATGCATTGACAGTATAAGTCTAGGAGCATGTTGCTGATTAAATGTGCAAGCAATGTCAACACTAACTCTAAAATGTACGGACCAATGTACAGGACCTTTGGAGCCTAGTAACCAATTGGATGCTGTCGGTCAAAACCATGTGCAAGCACCTTTGATGGGTTGGTAAAGCAGCGAGTAGAATGCTGGAATTATGATGGCCAAGAGACAAGTTACTAGGCCCTTGAGTTTGGCTGAAGAGGGCCTTAAGATGGTTGGAGAGAAAAGTGACCCAATTTCAAACATGCTTATGGTTCTCAGTAGCAGAGCTATAAAATTTTCTACACTTTGTATAAGAGGACAACTGATGTCAGCTCTCTTCCACTCCATTGGCTAGTGAGCAAGCGAAGGACCTGATTAGTTTGAAGTGAGTTACTCCTAGGTACATGTGGTGTCTAAGCGGACGGGTATCGTTGGGTCATGAGTGTGGCATAGTATCTTCTCGGGTCATGATAAACTCGAAGACAGTTTGGGCCAATGAGCCTTTTAGCATACCTTTGCGTTAAACAATGGGGTTAGACACTAGCGTTCATTATGCCTCTCAATTTTCCCTCATTGAGTCGATTCAATTAGTAACCAAGGATTATGATATGGTATTTACGTAAGAGGGGCACCATCAAGCTTGAAGGATAAATGAGCTAGCAAACAGGCACGATGCTGACCCTTATGGTGATTCGATGGAGGTGTGCTGTGGTTAGGATAGCACACTTGAGTTTTACGAGGTGGGATGGGCATGATATAAGGTGTCCATAATACATATAGACAACCTAGAATGAGGCTAAGGGTTAAGACCTTGAGATATATGTTTTCGTGAGATAAAATAAGCTTGGTATGGCTCTGGACTAGCTACAGACCAACATCTGTGTCATGCTTTCAGGTTTTAGGCACGAGAGCTTATGGATGATCTAAATGGGAATGGTGTTGAGTTTTCATCATACCAAAATGAGATATAATTAAGAAAACTGGGGTTGCATGCCCCTATATGGATTCGAAGGTTGGTGCTCGGAACCTTGGTGCCTGCGAGCATAGAAGGGTGCTCAAAGCCACTTTGAGACTTGTGTGCTCACGATGATGATGGGAGTTAGGTTCCTCCTTATAGAGTTTGAGAATGATGCGTGAGACTTTACAGGGTTAGAGCTACAAAAAGCTTACGAGTAAGCCGCTTAAATAATCGATATCAAGCTATCCATGGAGAAATGGATTCGCGAAAGGCTGACCTCAACTATGAGTAGTCTTAGTGCCGCACAGACACGTAATTTCGATTTAAAGATCACATGACCTATGACATTTATGCTGCAAAAGCATGTGCAAGTTTAGGTGCTCATAATAGTAGCTCTTTCTTTTTATTCTTAACCCTATTAAGTGTTATGTGTTGCTAATTTATTAGCCTATTCCCCCGAACATTTGGATGGGTCTTTATGTTTTATTAATTTAAGTTAAATTATGCTAATGGTTCATATATTTTAACGAAAGTTGAAATTTAGTTTCTTTATTATAATTTATTGAAATATAGTCTTGTATTATTTTGATTTAATAATATTAATTTAAATACTAATTTTGTTAAATTTTTATCGTTAAAATGCTAACATAATCTTTGATTTGATGATGTAGTCGTTAACTTTGTTAATGTAGCATTAACTTTACTAATCAGGTGTAGATTTTACTTACATGATAATATAGATTAATAAAATAAATCGTCAAATTATGCAAATAATCTTATATTCACACATAATTTAAAATTTAATCTCTCTTGTCTAATTTATAAAAATATCATCTTTGTACAAGTTAAATATGATAATGTTGGTTTAATTACTAATACGATCAACTATTTTTCATTAAATTATTGACATAACTACTATCTTTTTATAAAATCATCTAAAGTTAAAACATATCCTAAAATATTTTTAAAAATAAGAAAAATTAAAAATAAAAAAATAATTTTTTTAAGCTTATGCGAATTCTACAAAAACAATAAATGTTTTTTTTCAAATATTTTAATATTTTAAAAAATCTTTTTTTTATTTTTTAAACAATTAGAGTTCAATTTTTAAAAAAATTAAAAATTTTGAATTACTTAAATTTTTTTTCTGTTTTAAAATATTAATTTCAATTTTTCAATATTTTAACTTTTTTTTAAAAATAATATTTCTTGAATTTTTATGAAAAATTGATTTCATTTTTTAAAATATAACTATAAATTTTTGGAAAATTTAAATATTTACCAATATTATATTTTAAAAATTAATAATTTTCTAATTTTTAATAAAATTAAATATTTTAAATATTTACAAATTTTTATAAAATTTTTAGATTTTTTACTAATTAAATTTAATATTTTAAAATTAAAGTATTGGAAAAATTAAATATAATATTTTTTAAAAATTGATAAATTCTAAATATTGAAACTATTTTTTAAAATTGAAATATGATATTTAAAAAATAAAGAAATATTTTTTAAATTTAAAATATTAGGAAAAATTAAATTTAATATTTTTAGGAATGAAGAAAAATTTTAAATAATTCATAAATTTGAATTTTTAAATTAAAATCTTACTTTTGTAAAAAATTCAAGAAATTATATTTTTAAAAAACTTAAAATATTAGAAAATTTTTAATTTCATATTTTAATAAAATTCAAAAAAACTTGAAAAATTATTTTTAAAATGTTTATCATTTATAATTTGTCAAATTGTTTTAGATTTTTTGGGACTTTAATTTTCAAATGTTTTTATAAAATGACAACGGTTAAGTCAACAAAATTAACGAAAAGTAATTGATTGTATTAGCAATTGTATCAATATTATTAAATTCAATTTGTATGAAAAAGATATTTTTATAAATTATACTAAAATGATTAAAATTCAAATTTTGTTTGAATACAAATATGATTTACAAATTTTGATAATTAATTTCATTAATCCATATTATCACATCAGAAAAATTAATACCATTTTAGCAAGATCAACATCTATATCTTTAGGTCAACATCGATATCTATATTTTTAACAATAAAAATTTGATGAGTTTAGCAATTAAATTATAATTATCAAATCAAAATAGTATGAAATTATTATAAATTGAATATCAATGGATCATAAACATTTAATAATGTAATATTTACCAGTAAAATATCAATGAACTACCGATGGATTTTACTAGCAAAAAAAATTTCATCGATATTCAATAGATATATATTTGGAAGGAAGTGGAAATTTTAGTATAAGAATCACCTATGAAATAATCTGTCTATAATCCGTAAGCAAATGTTTTAGTGATAAACTATCGATGAATTGTTTTATTGATTAAAAAATTTTGTAAAAATTTAAAATAAAATAAAATAAAATAAAGCTTTTTTAAACTATATACTATTTTGGTTACCTACGAAATTTCTCTTGGTAATCGGTAGCTTTTTTAAAATTAAAATCCCCAAACCCTTTTTGATACCCTAAGCCTCATCCCCATTCCTCTCGTAGACCAGCCCTCGCTCGCTCGCTCTCTGCGCTCTCCTCTCCTCGACGAAGCTCGTTTGCCGCCCTCTCCCCCCCCCCCCCCCCGACCAAATAGCAGAGAAACCCTCGCTCACTCTCCGCCCTTGTCCTTGCCGCTCGCGATGCGTCACGGCCACCCTCCCCTCTGCCGCTCTCCACAAATTTCGCGCGCCTTTGGTTGGTCTTCATTTGCTAAATGTTGTGCTAACTGTTCCCAAAATTTGTATAGCATATATTTTACACGATTACCATTCATCATTAACTGAACTATTATCTTGGTTAATCTACCACCATGAGTTTGTGCTGCAACTCTTAACAAAGGTCGTTTGTTAGGTAAGATTCCCTGACGAATGATTAAAAAGATATGGGCGGCTGCTTCAAGGAAGATCAAATTGTCAACTCAGCTTGTATTTGCTGAGGATAAGATAGTTTGGAGTGTGGCTACTGAGAGAGAGAGAGAGATAGAGAGAGAGAGAGAGAGAGAGGCAGAGAAAAATAAATCAGAGATGGCGCAAATGTGGGTGAAATTCAGGCCGTCGAAGATGATGGGGAGAATAATATAGCATCTTGCTACTTGGGATCAAAACCCTCAAAATTCAACCTTAGCATCTTCCTTCTCTCGGTTAACATCTTCTTTACTTTTGCCTTTGCCTTTTTATCATTAAAATGCATTCAAACACATGCTTGCGTAGACAAGGCCATCACTATATATATATATATATATATATATATATATATATATAATTATATGATTTGATATGATTTTTAAATTAAAATTATATGATTTTTAAGATAAAAAGTTTAAAAAATTATAAATATAATTTTAAAATATATATATAAAAAATTTTAGACAATCAAAAAAATATACTCCTTCTATTTTATTTTTTTTTGAGATGTTTCAAAATTATGATTTTTTTTAATATCTAAAATTTTTATTTTTTATATTTTAAAATTATATTTTAAAATTTTTTTATACTCCTATTTTATTTTTTATTAATTTTTTGAGATGTTTCAAAATTATTTTTTTTTATATCTATTTTTTTTGTATTTTACAATTATATTTTAAAATTTTTAAACTTTTTTATCTTAAAAATCATATAATTTTAATTTTAATACTAAATACATTAAAATCAAAAAATTTTTTTTAAAACTTCGTAAAAATAATATATGATAAATATTTTAAGACAAAAAAAATATAAAATAAAAAGAGAACAAGAAATTTTACAATCTTATTACTAATTTGTGATTCATCCCCTTGATTGAAAAGGGTACTTAATTGGAAACCAGTGTTGAATGTGTAAAAAGGACATACAGACTCGTGACTCAAGGCAGTAGTGAACTTGAAATTTGAGCATGATGATTTGGTTGCCTGTATGGCTATAACCCATGTTAGTGGCTGTGATATAGGTCTGCTGTCTACATATTTGAGTTAAAATATGAGTAACTTGTGATTATAACAAACTTTAACTGAAATTTTCAGACTTGTCTTTTCTTAATCATTTCTCTTACCCCCTTTTATCATTTTTTTCCTCTTTTGAATAAAACTTCATTTTTCAAATTGACTTTATCAACTATGATTGGACCAGATTACATTACCATATATTTGATCAGCAATCAAATGGACAGACAATTGAATTAATACTCGTTTATGTTGTGGATAAATTATCTGTCGTCTTAGGTCCTCTTGATGTGAAAGTGAGCATAAAAACTCTTGTCATATGCCGAAGTGACGTTCACCGTTTCAAGGTGAATTGCTCTCTGCCATATTATGTTTTGTGTTTTATATAATTGCTCCGAATTCTTGATTATAGTCTAAGACCCTGATCTATGTGCTCTGCTTGTTACAATTCATCATCAACAACTGAACTATTACCTATCCATAGTTTCATTGGCTTTGTAAATTTAGCTAGTCATGCGTTTTTTGCTTATAACTGACTTCTTTCTACCAAAATCAATGTACTAACTTAGTTCTTGACTTTTACATGTTGGTCAGGACATGATTTATAAAGTGCAGATGAGTAGCATGTGACATGGTCCTTCTTACTTCCTACTTTAGGAGTTGCAGCATGGTGGTAGACCTGAATAGATTGCTGCTCTACAGTCTGAGGCTGAGGTATCTTGAAATTTTTTTCGTATGTTCTGGCTTTTTCTTTCAAATTTCGAATTTCAATCTTTAGCTAGGATGTTGAATTAATGAATACAGTGTCCAGTTAGAGATTTTATTTATAATCATATTTATATATGAAGTTGCAGACTAATTTGGTTGACTTTATCTTTGCTCTCTGTTCAAGATATCGAATGGCTCCACAATTACCATCACATGCATTAAGATTCACTCTTACTAAACTTCTTGAGTTTCGTTCAAAGAAAGATAGTTTCCTAGTTTCAAATAAGCCAAATATTAATTTGTGTACTACCAAATGTTTGTTAAGGATTTGGAACATATATGTATTTTTGTATTTTTTTGTTAAGGATTTGGAACATATCGTTATTTTTGTATTTTTATGTAATTAGAATTTATAAATAATTTTACAAAATATTATTATTTTTTATAAATAAAATATTTTATTTATTTATTTATGTATATTTTAATATTCATATCATTACTTTAAAAATAATTTCAAAAATATAATAAAATGATAAAAAATTATAAAATAATAGTTAAATATGATTGAAAAATAAATATTATCAACAAAATTTTAATTATTATTGATGTATTTTTTAAAAAAATTTAATTAATTTTGAAAAAAAATATTAAAATAAGAATTGACAGAAAAAATATTTTATTAACAGAATTATTCATTGATAATTTATTGACGGAATAAAATAATATCGATAGAATAGCATTACCGACATGGTTTATCCGGACAAAATTTTTTCATTGGTAAATCCATTGGTAATATTATTACCGGTGAAAAATGAAGTATTATTGATAAAAATTTTCATCGATGATATCTCATTTTTTGGTAGTATGATGACTACATTTCTATGAATTATAGTAAAGAATCTAAATTTCAAATTTCTATAAAATATAAAAATTATTGTAATAATTTAACTATCACTGTGAGTAGTGTTTTTGTTTGTATTAAACTCTTTTTACATAATAAGATTTAGTTTAGAGTGGCTGTCACAGTTTAAAAAAAATTTTAGTTTGAATAAATGTGGGCCAAAATATGAAAAATAAATCCTCCAATATTTTAAAAAAATTTAATTAAACACTTATGCTATTATTTTTATTATCTAAATAAACCTCTTAACTCTTATTTTTCACTATTTAAGTCCTTATTTATTATTGTAACTAAATGAACCCCTCAACTCTTATTTTTCACTATCTAAACCCTTCTAATTAATAAAAAAAGAAAATATCTATATTTATATGAAAAATAATAAAAAAAAGAACTTAAAATCACTTTTATAATTTACATATGAGTATAGATTTTTTTATTAATTTTACAAATAGGCATTTCTTTTTTATTAATTATTTTTATGTGGTATCAAATGATTATTATTTTTATTAATTTTCATATAAATATGGACTTTTTTATTAATTTTACATATGGACATTTCCTTTTATTATTAAATATTAATTTTACATATAGATATTTTTTATCACTAATTATTTTCGGTTATGGTGTCAAATAATTAATCTTTTTTTATTAATTTTCATATAAATATAGAGATTTCTTTTTTTTATTATTAATTTTATATATTGGTATTTCATTTCTAATAAATATTTTTGGTTATAATACCAATTGATAAAAATTTTTGTTAGGCCATTTATTTTTTAAATCTTCATTCTTTATACATTTTTTGTCACTTGCATAATTTTTTTGTCATATCATTGTATTTACATGTCTTAAAATATGTTAATGTGTCATTAATTTAATTGTAGAAGGGTTTAGATAGTGAAAATAAGAGTTGAGATATGTATTTAGATATAATAATAATATAAAGGTTTGGATAATGAAAAATAAGAGTTAAGAAACTTATATAGATGAAATAATAGTATAGGGACTTAATTAAATTTTTTTTAATACTTGAGAGGCTTTTTTATATTTTAGTAAAAAGAAGTGTTTAAAAAAGTTTAAAACTTTCAAGTATTCCGTATTATTGTAAAAAAGTATTGTAGTGAATTGATATATCTAAAAAATACATATAAAATAATAAAAATATAGAGATATGAAGATAATAAAATTATTTTAACCACAAAAGTAGTGGTTGAAAAAAAAAAAAACCTCTTTATTAACTTTTTGATTTAAACATACAAGCCAGTTTTTCAAACTGTAAAGTTATATTTTTTTATTATTTAAGATTGAAATTAATAAAAATGGTTTTTAATTTCAACCTGGATATTAAAATAGCTAAGTTAACTCATCACAGTTAAAAAAGAAGGGTAGTATACTTTTTTTTTTAATTTGAAAAAAGTAGTATTTTGAAGTGAAAAGATATATGCATATTGCACTCAATCAAATATTTAAGTACATTAATATAAATTTTTAAAAAATAATTTCTTATATTTAAGTACTCTCAATCAAATGTTTAGAAAATAGTTTCTTAACCATCATTACACATTTTTCTTTTGTTAATGGACAAATTAACATGAAAAATATTCCTTCAGAAAAATATATGCCCAATAAAGGGCCGTACCATTAATTAACGATAAGAAATGGTAACAAAGTTTCTTATTTTTTGCCGCAAAAGGTCTCTGCTTCACAATGAACGACGAATCAAATTATAAGATACTTTTTTCTTAAAAAATTATATATAAGATACCTTTTTTTGTCACTAAAACACAATAATTTTTTGACTTAATTTCGTTTGATTTTAGACCTTTTTAATTGTTCCTCTAAAAGTGGACCAAGTCGACACCAATGGCCAAACTGTTGCTAATCATCTTTCCAAGCAATAAATCCATCTCCTTTATTGGCGACTCAATGTCGGCTTCTTCGAAAGCATCCTCACAGGCGTGTACATTCTCCACATTGGAGCTTAGCTCCATGCTCAACTGGTAAAGGTCGCGAATAGAAATGGCATCAAGGACTTTCTGATCGCTGTCGAGAATGGCGTTGTAGCTGTCGATGCATGTTTCAAGGCAGGAAGCGACGTGTTTTGGGGTAGACGGATCCTGAACGAGCCTCGTAGCCTTGGCCAACGCTTCCTTGGTCTTGTTATTCATTGCTTCAATCCCGACTTTGAGGATAGACACAGGTTCTATAGCAACTATTTCACCCAGGAATGGAACAGTTGTGATTAGACATTCGATGGGGTGGTCAGTGTCTCCACAGATTCGCTGAAGGGTAGGATCGATGTTACCAGGTAATATAGAAAATGTTTGACCAGGCTTTTCCCCTTCAGGTTCAGGAAAGCTGAAAGAGTACTGTACATCGAATGAAGATGGAGCGGAAGCTGGTGATCCAAACGGGACCGATATATCACTGGAAAGGGGTGAAGGGGCAGAGGTAGAAGCAGAGAAGGAGAAGAGACAGGAGAGGGAGATCATGAGGCCTAGGATATTGAAATGGTTGATCTCCATGGTCTCTTCTCTTGGAGGAAAGCAACGCAAGAGGAGAGATACGGGAAGGGGAGGGCTTTTTTTGTTGTGTCAGGGAATGGAAATTGTGAAATATTTAAAGTACTTTTAAGGCATTTGCTGTGCATGGAAATAGCGTCTCTGCTCGACTTCTGCCACAATCTAATTTTAGCATAACCAGTTTTCCTTTTATTGCAATGGTTCACGTTCAAATCCTCCCTTTTCCTTCGTATCAGTTAGAGGAGAAAATGGAAAAACGAGATAAAAAATCCTCAATTAACAGTAATAAGTGTGCTATGACTTTCAATCAAATGAGATTTCCATAGATCTGGAACCGTTAAAATTAGTTAAGAAAAGAGGAAAATTCCAAGGCAATGGCTAGATATTACCTATAAAAACGTTGCAACGCCATATATATTTAGGGTTAATTTAGAATTGTTGTTTTTGTTGAAAATTTTTTTAGTTGAGAAATTGCATCGAGAAATGTGTGATTAAAAATTTTAAGTATTTGGTATTATTGTGAAAAAGTGTTATGTGAGTAATTGAAATATTTAAAAATATGTATAAAAAATAATAAGATATTCAAAATATAAAGATAATATAGTGATTTTATATTTCAAACACATTTTTTCACCTTAAAAATAAACTTGTCTAATAATTGGGCTATTTGTTTGAAAGTTCTTATGAAATTTAAAAAAGTTTGGACATAAATTTTAAACTGGTTAAATAAGGTTGGGCTTAAAATTTGACCCGTTTAAAAAACTAACATGACTTTGGATATGAAATTTAAAATTCGAATTCGATTCAATTTGAATAAATATTACATATATTTTATTTATATTTATATTACATAAAAATAAATAAATAAATAAATAATATATACATTAATATTACATACCTATATACACTAATTGCATTCAAAAACTTAAATAAATAAAGTATTTTTAAGTTTTATTTTGTTAATTATTTATTTATAACATTTATTATAAAATTATTTTTTATTTAAAAAAAATTGAAATATAGACTAACTTGGACGGGCCTAGATATTCTTTTAAAAATAAACTGGGTTTGGATTCTAAAATAAGACTTGTTTTTTTGGGTAGGTCTAATCTTGAACAAGCTTGAAGCTTATTTATACTTTGTTTAGGTCCTACTCATGGATAAATCTATTCAAAATAGTACTTTTTAAGAAGCATTTTTATTTAAGTTTAAAAATTAAACTTTTAAATTTAAAAATTACTTTTTTTTTTGTTTACTATTGAAATTGAATCAAAAGCAACCTACTTTTAACTTAAACTAGATCTTACTAATTATACGACAATAATAAAAGTAAAATTTCAAATTCATAAATTACAAGCTACAATTAGAATATGTGGCAAAAAAATCCATCAATGTTTAAATTAATGTTTTATATTTATATATATGGAAATCCATGAAACTCGAGCCACACACTCCAATCTTATAATTAATTTCCACCCTTCCCTTTCTTGAGTTAGGGTCTATTTAGATCCTCGTTTCACGAAAGTGCAATGTGATTAGAGGAAACAAACTCATTATTATCTCATTCAAATAATATAAAAATAGTACAATTGAGTTATTTTTATTGATGGTATTTTCTTGTGTTTTAATTAAAGAGAAAAAAAATGAGGATGAGGGAAAAGATAGTTGTAACCTATAATCAAAAAGCACAGTAAAAGGATAATGGAGTTGTCACTCCGAGATGTGCTTCGTCGCTCAAATCAATATATTGTCTAATGTGTGTTTTTAGGAATAAGACTAGGAAGATAGAAAAATGGTAAAGTGTGTGTCCTCAAGAAAAAAAGAGTTTTAGGGTTAGGTTTACCTCAGTTTCCTTATGTACATGGTTCTTCTCCACCTTCCATATAGGATAAAGAGTCATGATCTAACTAAAACAATTGACAGTTTGGGGGATATAAAACTTGAGGAGGTCCCACATAAATGGATGTGAATTGCATTTAATAATTTCAGGTAGATGTGGGCCACATTTAATGATCTTAGGGTTGTATTTAATGATCTCAAGGCAACATTTAATGATAAAAGGCAAGTTGGTGGCCCATTAGTCAGTTCCAAAGTGATTTTCTTGAATAAGTGGTGAGCCGTTCCCATAGGATAGGTGACATGTCTATTTGGATGTGCCTTGTCTGAGAAACCTAAGGAACTTGGTGCATTGATCGAGTTTTGATTGTTAATTGATTGATTTAGACGTAACAATTTTCATCGTGTTGTACCCATGATCTACAATTAGAGTTTTAAGGTTTAGTAGAAAATAGTTTTTCCATCAGAGTCTCTTTTTCCCTTTTTATAGATTTTATTAATTAATTTTTAAAAAGATTTTTAATTATTTATTTAAAGTGACAAAAAAACTTATATAATTACGTAATAAATAAACATGTAAATAACAAAAATTTTGAATAAGTACACATATAAATATATTTATACATATAATTAATTACACAAAAAAAATTTTATATATAATTAATTATATAATAAATACTTACAACATTATTATAAATACATAAATACAAACATAAAGATAAAATATATACTATAAATTTTATTAATTTTTAATTATTTATTAATTTCACAAATATTAAATATATACTATAAATTTCATTATATACAAAATTTAATCTAGGGCAAATTAAATAATTGGTCATTAAACTATTACAATGTTTTTAAAGTGGTCACTAAAATATTAAAATTTTCAATATAATCACTAACGTTTGAATAAATATTTTTTTAGGTTATTGTGCCATTAAAAGGTAAAGTTTTTTTTATATTGCTTAACTAATTAAAAACACTCTGTTGACATGGTCCATTTTTTTTTCACGTTATACAAAATTACAAACGTTTTTTTTATTTATTTCCCCGTTTCCCCATTTCTTTCCCTTATCTTTTTTGTTCATTCTCTTTCAGTTTTGCTTTTTCTTTGATTAATAATGAAAAACACTAATATGAGTATTTTTTTTTATCATTGTGGAATACCAGCTAAGTTGAAGACCTCCTAGTCAAATGACAATCTTGGAAGAAGGTTTTTGGGTTGCAAGAGTTATATGCATTCATACGAATGTTGTTTCTTTAATTGGTATGATCCACCAGTTGATAATCATGCAAGAACTGTGCTTATTGGGTTTTTAAGAAAAGTGAGAACCGTTGAAAGCTAACGAAGAAAGGAACGTGTATTATGGATTTTGTTGTTGGCTTGTTATTTGATTTTCGCTTTGAATAAACTTTGATATAATTATCTAAGTTTGTTTACTATTGAATGTTATGTATTATTGGTTTTAGGGTAATGTTTTAGGTGCATTAGGCATAATGAAATTGAAGGAGTATGGATTTGTTGTGTATTTTTTATCTAATGTTAGTGAATGATGGTAGCCATAGGATGGGTTTTAGACCATCTTTGTATCAAGTGAAAGCTATACTATGTAATAAACTCATATTATTTAGCTGTTTCAGTATGCTATTAGATTATGTAGTGATTTCTATTACTTTACTCTAAACCTAACTTTAACAAACATGTAACTTTAACAAATAAAGTATTGATAATTATAATCAAGCCAAAACATATTTTATATTGATAATAAAAAAACCAATAAATCAAAAACAAATAAAGCAGTAATAGATTAAAAAACATGATTGTATTAAGAATTATAAGGCATTTACACCATTTTGGTTAAATGTAGTTTTAGTATGTTGGACTTGAAACAAACTCCTAAACATCAATCTATTTGTATTCTCTTTACATATATAAATTCTTTACATGTATACCCTTATTAATAAAAATAAACTCTTTATTTACAAAAAGAACCTATACCCTTATAAAAAAAAAAAAGAAAGACTTGTTACTAATCCAATATACCAAAAACTAAGACATTTCTATTAGATCAAATTCTTAAACTATTTATGTCCACAACATTCACAAACCCAGTCATGTACACAAAATAAAAACTCCTCTGCAAGTTTTGGTTTTTCATTCCATGGTTTTGGCTTTGCTTGTCCTTTAATGCCTTTTTTGTTGTATTGAATATTGGTTGGAAGTAGCTTTCTTTTAGCAACATGCTAAATTAAGTACTTGCACTACACTTGTATTCTTTTTTGGTTAGCTTCAGTACTTGTAGGAGTTCCAACAGGTTCACAAACTCCATTTAGGCTAGAGACATAATTTTGTTGTAATTGGAAAACTTGACTAGAGCCCTACACATAAATATATTAAATGATTCAATATTTATTATTAAGGATTTTTTTAGGGTGGGTTTAAGGTAGACAAAATAATTACTTACATTAGGCATCCATCTAACAGTATTTGAAATTGCCTTTTAGATTTTTCAATTGTTGTGGTTTGAAATGGCTGAGGTGGTTTTCCAAACTTCTACTTGTGTTTTGAGGTGGCTCTCCAAATCCTATAATTGACTTTTAAAGTGGTTAAGATGGCTTTCCAAATTTTTCATTTGACTTTTGAAGTGGTTGAGGTGGCTAAGGTGGCTCTCTAGATCTTCTAGATGTGGTTGAAGATGGATGAACATCCTTAAAAATACATTAAAAATGTAAGTGTTTAGATTAAATGATTCCAAATATTTCTATTATATATTACCTTTTCAGTGGCAGAATCTTTAGCTTTTTGGCTAGTACTTTCAATAGCTCTCCTCATCTGTAAAATGGAAATAATAAAAATAAGTTACTATATTTTATCTATTATTATCATTAATCATTTTTAATTAATAAAAGAAAACACTTACAAGTAACTTTAACATATTTCTTCTTATTGGTTTGACAAATCCCCTATTTACATTCAGTCGGCTATTACCACTAGTTTCTCTTTTGCATGTTCTTCCATTATGCCCATGTTTTTCAAATGCGCTTCAACTGAGTTTTTCTTCTTTCTTGCTAATTTTGAACTGACTACCATTTGTTTCATCATTTTTCTTTCTCTTATTCTTATGTGGTTTTTCAGGCAGCCTTTTTAGAATGAGTGGCAGTATTGGTTCTAGGGTTTCATCACTTGTCCATTGATTTGCACCTTTGATAGGGTAAATAAGGTTGAAATATATGTTGCCTTGTATGGTCTTGCTGTAGCATGGATCAACATACTTTTTAGGCCTTTTTTTAGACAATAACATGGCTAAAATAGCATGCATAAAATCCCAATGAAATCTCATTTTTTGCATGAATAGGTATGCAATTGAAAGTTCACGACATGCTAGTTTGATGGCCCACATGCTACTTGGTAATGAGACCACAAGTATGTTTTGGCCAGCACCTACTTGATTGTAACACAATCTGATCTAATTTTTT